CTTTTCGACACAACCTGTAAGAGAGATGACAACATTTTACTAGACTACGTGTAGTTACCTACAGCTTAACTGCTACCGATTGACAAACAGACACTTCAATATCCAAATGAGTTACTTTATTTTATTCGTTTTATTCTTACTCACCTTCAACACATACATGTAAGCAACTTAGAATTGACCAAACAAACACAACAGAATTAAATAAATCCATTATTGTCCTATATTCATTGCAGTCTTATCTATTAATGTCCAAATCAATCGTGACTTTAATTTTGAAATAGTTTTAAGAACTGTATATCTCTTGGTAATTCTTTTTACATATTCCCTGATAATATAAAGGATTACATGCAATATGTCCTTCCTTCAGGCTCCTGTGTAGTTCAGATGTTGTCTTCAGTTGTTTTCTGTATTTTCCCCCCGAACCGTCATTGGGGCATATCAATAGCCTTCATCCGTCCGTATATACGTTCGTCTGTCCACAACATTACTGTTCTGAGACCTTTAACTCTATTATTTGATAAGAATTATGAATGTGTAATTATAACCATATACCATCCGTAATTATTTTGATTCGACATTTTTGGGGCAGTAATGTAACTTTGACTATTTTCTGGCATTTGTATCTTAATGATACGTAGTGAACGCTTTTTATGGCTTTTAAGTACAGTTTAGATTAATTGGAAAAGTATGTGTGCATCCACGAAACAACTTTATGTTTGGTGAGATTGTGTAAATGAAAATAACTCGTTGTTTTCGTGCGTCCAAAGCGTTTTTCTGGAATTACGTATCTTCATCAGGAACGCTCAAACACAAGTATTTAAAAGCAAGGTTTGCATAAAATAATACGTAGCAACGTTTGGTGCTACAAAGGACCAAAAGGACATAAAAAGAAAAGCCAAATTCATCTAACTTAAAAGTCAACTTTGTCTGAAGAAATGTAACCTTAGTTATTTAGTTATTTCTTACTTTTTCAACGGAGAATTTCACTTAAAATTTTTTTATAAATCATATTGAAGCAAAGCAGCAACTACCGAGCTGATGGTACCCTCGGGGAATAACAGTCCAGCAGCAGTGGTATATCGACCCAGTGCTAGTAAATGAAAATAACAGTTTATCAGGTTTGTGCATCTGGAGCGCCTTTGTGGACTTACCTTCACTAGGAACGCTCAAAATCAACCATTTGAAATACGTAAAAACGATAGAAGCTATATGACCATGCAATAGGTCAGTGATGTCTAAAAATAAACTTTAACCACAGACTAAACATTAGGACTTAATGATTTGACCACGACCACATAATATTTTTTTTATTTTAAATCTTCTGAATTTTAAAAGTCAGAAGACAGTTTACCACTAATTCTTGCCGATCTATATATGTGTAAATCTTTATTGCAGTGTATTTCCACAGAACAAATCTTTTCATTTCTTATCGCAGGCGCTTGAGTGCAAGATTTGATTTTTTTCTTCATTGTTTGCACGGAATATTCATTTTTTTTATACACATGCATAACACTCTTACATGTACTATGCTTGTCTTGTCTTGTTTTGGATGAGTTTGACTCTGATACGACTATCCTTTAATAGTCAAAATGTAAAATCAGTGCAATGAAAAAAATATTAAAATCCTTAACCCAAGCCCCTGCTTCTTGTCAGGCATCTACATAGACTAGTGTTTGACCTGGGACAAAATATGGTGACGCTTTTCCAAGGTTTGACAAAATGATTTATTTATCGATAACTTGTAATGGGGCATAAGCTATTTTTAGTGGGGTTCGTGTTGCTCAGTCTTTAGTTTTCTATGTTGTGTTTTGTGTGCTATTGTTTGTCTGTTTGTCATTTTCTTTTTTAGCCATGACGTTGTCAGTTTATTTTCGACTTATGAGATTGAATGTCCCTCTGGTATCTTAAATTTCTCCTCTCTTCTACGATTTAGACTTTTTGTTTCAAGAATTAATAAAAGCGGAATTTTGAAATAATATTTCGTTATAAGCAGTCAGTTAGGCCCAAATTTGTCGAAATAAGCTAAAAAATATCGCTGATGTATTATTTACTTGCAAGTGAATAATTTAACCTCAATTAAATTCGTATTCAATTTAACCCCTTATGTATTTAGCTGGAGATGGGTTACGCATGTACTAGGCATGTTCAGCTATTAAAAGAAAGGGGAAAGGGAAACAAGGGTGAACCATTTCGTTTTCTGATTCGATCCACAAAAAAATCATTGTTATACAGGTAAAAAACGATGATTAACATATTTTTGAACAAATATTAAACATTAAATCAAACTGCGAAAAAAAATCTAATTACACGTGCTCGCTATTTATTTATATTTATATTTATGTTTAATTGTTTATATCGGGTTATATGACCGTCGGCTGTCTTCGGATGTCATCTAGATGGCGTCTTGACTAAAAATACACTGAGTCTCGAAATGCTGATACATATTTGTCGAGTCCATGCATTGAAAAAAAATCCTGTGTTATATTAAGGTATATAGGATTTTTTTTTCAGAGACAAGTGCCTGTGAGACATATATAATGTGTATATATGTCTCTGTGAAAACTAATCAAATTTTTGAAATAATATTTAATACTTGCAACAGAGACATATAATACAAGAGATTCGCAACTCTAGTAGAGTCTATATAACAGCCAATGAAATGACGTGGCCACCGGAAAGCCGATTAATCCGATGGATTTATGGGTAATAACCCGTATTGTTGTGTAAAAGGTTCTACGCCTCACGATTTTTCTAATGGATAATGCCGATACCTTTCACAGCTAAAGCATGCAAGTATATTTAAAAGTTACAAAAAACTAATTCTAATAATTTGTTATTGATAAAATGTGTTCTAATGATGAGATTAATCAAATACAAACAAAGTTAAAACTCGGCCCATTTTACTTCACCTATTGCCGTAGAAACCATTTGATCTCCCAATTTTTTTCTTAAAACTTGAAAAATATGCTAATAAATATATAATTTTATGAGCCAATAGTACTCCCAAATGTTGTTTCGTGACTGAAAATAAGACTATTTTCGTAAAATTTGAACCACCATTTTGTGGCGATTTTTTCTGATTGATACCCGAAATTTTTTATTAAACTGGCTAAATATTGAAATTGTTCATGGACAAATTTCCTTAAATCAGTCCTTCTTTTTTGTGCACTATGAAATTTATAGCCTGCATTTTGTTAGACATTTTATTCATTTTTCATTCTGTTTATAGCAAAGTTGTTTATTTTCTCCTATTCTGAAGTCATTGTTTTTTCTACTTTTTAGGGTGCCAAAGATGAACGAATGCAGTAAATTTACAAAAGGAATAAAATTTTCCTAGTAAAGGAAACCTTCTGCTGGTCGTAATATTATGAATGAGCTTCATATGCATCTGTTGTCGTTTCAGACTACGCTTCTCGTTCAAAACATGAACCTAATTCATTTTTAAATTAAAATCGTATTGAGGACATTTCAATGGTGACTGCAAAAGATATATATATATATGTTTGTGGTATATCATCTTTTCCACAAGTTTATTGTTTTCTGTTTGGTATTTAATTAATATTAAGATCCATTTTGTTAGATCTGGTGATCAATTTATTTGGCAATCGCCAATGGCAGTCAGCAGGGTTTAAGAACATCAGTTGTTCGACCTGTTAGTCAAATGCGTTTTGTTAAAATAGACTTTTTCACTTTTTTTGGTCTTTTGGAAATTGTTGTTTGTGCTGTATTTAGACCCCTCTACCAAGAAATTTGTTTTACATGCACACGTATAAAAATTGCGGTTTTTATCCAACGCAATCATAGGTTTGAACGTTGTTTTCAATTTAGACTTTTATATATATATTTGATAATAAAAGATTTTATTTACACCAAGGATTTGTATATGTATACACATAAACAATCTTACTTTTAAATTGCCATCTCTTTACCCCAGAATAAAAAGACAAAAACCGCTACAAATGATTAAAAGACAAAAACCACTACAAATGATTGTCTCGTGGAAACAAGGTTATAAAATACTTTTTAAATAGTGTCTTCCGTGTTGCTTTGATGTATGACCTGTGTTTTTTTATAGATTTTTTGTTGCTTCGAGGACACACATATCCATCTATGTATGCAGTATTGTCAATTGTTTTTGTTGGTGGGTCTCTCGCTTATGTTTTCGTCCTTTTCACTATCAACAAAGAGTTCGTTATCAGTTTATTCAACTAGGAGTATATCTAAGTCGTAACTATTAAGATTGTCATCCCACGAAATTAAGATTGTCATCCCACGAAATTAAGATTGTCATCCCACGAAATTAAGATTGTCATCCCACGAAATAAAATCGGAATTTTCCATATTGCGTGCACATGAATGAAGCTTTATTCAAATGAGAAATTAATTGTAATTTTCTTAAATATTAATTCTCAATACACACTTCGAACATGAAGAAACCATAAATTTACCGACAATCATTTAAAAATACAACTCAATGCAAGCCTATATGATAAAACTGTCAAACAACACTTAGAAATCAAACATTTACCGACAATCATACAGAAAAAAAACTCAATGAAAGCCCAATAAATGAGGAATATAAAAATAAATAAAATTTTAATAATTTATAAATATCAAGAATAAAAAACAAAGCCTATCATGATTAACAATTAATTAACAAATAAATTAAGTTTTTTTCCATATTAATTAATTATACATTTTGTGAATTGTATTTTTGGAAAGAGTGTGGACACCTGTGGTGTGTATTATATGTCTCTGCTTGCAATAAATAACAATAAGAAAATGTAGATATTTTTATGATTTATGGTTTTATATTTATTTTTTATTGTATCCAAGGATATTTATTAGTAAAATTCAGATTAATAACATCCTTGAATGGTCTTGTATTGCTTTTATAATTTTTTTGAAATTTTAAATGTATTTTGCCGCGAAATTTTTGATAATGTCCCTTTATGGAAATGTTTGACCAATGAAATTCTTCGACAGGAAAAATTCTTGGACACGAAAATTGTTTATATATGGCGTCGAAAATACTTGAAGATGTCACTCATAAGCATTTCAATAGATGTCAACAAAAATTGGATAAATAGATGGATTCAAAAGTGTTAAAATGATTGAGTTTAAAGGTAAAAAAGCATTCAAATACGATACCGTCCAGAATATCCGCCTAGGCTAGTACACAGGTGCTTTGGGAGTGGACCCCCTTTTTTCTATATCTATATCAACCGTATTTTTTGTTTTTACGTTTTTTTTTTTAAATTAATTTTCCTTAATATTTAAACCTATTTTCACTAATTCAATGTGTACTTGCTAATATGAGGCAGGTGTTACCTGAGAAGAGGTCTTTTAACATTTGACGTTTTTGCAAAATTAAAAACAACAAAATGTATTTAGGTCATCAAATTTTTTCATTTTACAATTTATGACATTAATATATATATAACAAATCATAATAATATAATGAGGGCTTGACAATACACCTTATCACTATTTGTCCGCCAAACCTGAACATCACAAAAGTTTCCTGTAAAATTTTGACATCATAATAGAAAATATCTGATGCCACAATGGAAAAGTGATTGTTGTATGACGTCAATAGTTCAAGCGGCACAAATTCTCTGGTCAAGCGGCACAGTTTTCCAAATAACAATAAGGTGTATAAATACCTCTTTACCAAATTGCCATTTAGCCTCATCTGTGAACTACAATGCAGTTCAACATGATTAGATTTAGACATGCTAATATACATGTACATGATATATCTCCTTAGCATGTTTGTACTTTTTGTTAATTAATTAACCAATGCTCCATTTGCTGTCCTTCAGATTATTTCTGATTTTTAATGGAAAACAGTTTTCTTTCTGTTTTGAAAAGCTTCTTTGACCAAAAAAATGCATGTGATAATTTGTTTTATTTCATTAGTTATAGCATGTGCAGTAAAATACTGTGATTTCCGATTAAAGTAAAAACTGAAAAGTTCACTTGTGAAATAAATCCGATTATTTCACTCACCTCTGATGTCATACAACAATAGGTGTTGCAAAGACATTGGCGATGCATCAAACGAATTGAAAATGTGTAGAAAAAGATGTAGTTCATTGCATTTTCCATGTTATTTGTATTAAACCGTCTTTGGTCAATGTAATAAAGATTAAATTCCAAGAATTCAAATATATGGATAAATGTTCAGCACATAACCGAACAGCACTGTTAATTAACTCATGTGTTACACACATTGGTGAAATAATGTGTTGTTCGATCACTAGTTAAATATTTTTCCATTTTTGAATTCTTGGATTAGTTATTCTATAATTATTAAGAGAAGTAGAACCTTGACTTTTAAGTGATTTAGATCTCATGTCATTGTATGTTGTGGACATTTATCTTATCATACATTTCTTTCTGTTCATAATTTGTTAAGATCCTTTTTTTCAATAGGAAAGTTCGTCAGTTTACAATAATAAAAAGTCATCATGGTAGACAGATATGGCAGATCTCCTGATATCTACCTGCCATTCCCCATAGACCATGAGAGAATTGGGACTCAGAGGAGGGAGAAATTACAGCGGGAGATAGAGAAAATGGAACAAGATCAGAGACAAAGACAACATCTTATAGAAGAACTTTCAAAAATGGCAGAAGTCAAGAAACAAAAGGAGCAAGATAGACTTTTAGTAAGTGAAAAAATAATTCCAAAACTTGCTTAAATTGGATATTATCTAAGTCTGATATATTAATTTGTATGTAATTCAAGGGTGTGGAAATATTTGTTGTGATCACTTGTCCCTGGGCAAGTGAAATTGCAAATTTTACTTGTCTGGAAGAAATGTTACTTGCCCTGATTTTTTAATGAATTTTGGAATGAAGAAGATGTATTTTACTGTGAACATGTATGTTTCTAAAACAGTTTTGAAACACAATGAAAATGGTATTCATGGTCTTTGTTTGTATGTTAGAATGATAAAAAGATAAGTAAGTATACACCAATGAGATAGAAACCAACCAAAAAAAAAACTTTTGGTACATGTAGGCCAATTGTAAATCTGATAATTTTTTTTAGATAGCTAGGCGAAATCAAAACATTATAGAAATTTAAAATCCTCTATTCCGTATATTATCATACTATTTGTCCCTCTTCCAACTTGACTGGTCATTTAGTTCTCATTCTTGAGAAATCAGAGCTCAAAATTGATAATGACCATTACCGGTGTATTGTTGCTATATTAAACCTGATGAACGATCCCGGATCAATGGGAAAAAATAGCAGATTATTAATGAAGCCTGGGTCCGCACACTTATTTTTTGTTGTTTGAAAATTGATCCATTTCTTGATCATTGATGTTGTTTTACTTAAACAAGGTGCTTTCGTCTTAATTTGATATTTTTTCTACTTAGATGAATAGATTTTGGGGACTTTTCTATATAATTATATAAATTAACATTGTCAAGCTACATTTTTTTTACTTGTCCACGGGCAACAAAGACACAAAAAATTGCTTGTCTGGCCGGTAAATGTACAAGTCGGGCATAGCATTTCCACACCCCTGTAATTGAAAACATTTATTCATGTATTCCTGCAAACATTAATGTACATGTAAATTGCATTCAAAGGAAGCTTAGTACAGCTATATTGTTGACGCTAAACATGCTTAATGAAAAGCCATGCATGTATATTTTTAGGTGAAGTATAACAAGAAGAATTTATTGTCAGATGAAATGAGGAGAGTTTATGGCAAAGAAACTGCTTCAAAAATAGGTACTAAAATGCTCCCATTTACTAATTTTTAATGGTTTTCTGACGGAAAAATTTAGTTATAAATTTTGGGTAGCATAAAGGTTGGACTTGTTGGATGGGCACTCCAGCTCTTTCTTTTCAATAACTTGAGAACCCTAACCTTTATCTAATCCTTATCAAATTTTAATACGTTGTTTCTGATGACAAAATGGAGTTAAAGTTTGATATTGTCTATTTTCATTTTTGCTGTATTGAGTTCTGATTTTTTATTGATTAAGAAATGGCACTTCATGTTGTTTCCCTGTAATATCTGGGTAACCATTCAACCTATGATTTTAAATTTTAATATGTTGTTACTGTTGATAGAATGAGGGTCAAGTTTGATATTGAGATTTCATTATTGATGTTCAGAAGTAAAGGTCATTGATTGCTTGGGAAATTAAATCTTTATGTTAACTCAGTGTGATAACTTGAGAATGCTTGATTCAATCTTTTTCAAATATTTAATATGTTGTTACTCTTGGAAAAATGGAGGTCAAGATAACAAATTTTACTTGTGGGAGTTATTGCCCTTGAATGCTCTAACTATGACACTAATAAATATAATAAAAGCTAAATTTGACAGTCTTTGAGTTATCATCATTTTTGCATTGAATTGTTTATAAAAAAAACACCATTTAGATGCACAATAAGATGTATATATTTTTATATTTTTATTCTTATCTTATCAAAGTCATTAATTCCTAAAATAATGAACAACTGACTTTTTACAAATCATGCAAATTGTAGGATCCATTAATAAGTGTACTTTTACTGTTTATTGTTTTCTTGATGAAATGTTTGTAATTTACCTTTGGTTTCACATGGCAGATTAGTTTTCCTTTAAATATTGTTTCAGCATCAAACAATATTTAAGATATCAAAGAATGATCCTTTTATGCTTTCTTGTTAATTTGATCACTTTTAGCATTCATTTCCTACCCTGACCTCTAAAACAAAGAGGCACAATAAAACTTTAAATGTTCCATGACAACACTTGAGTAACATTAGATTTTTAAAACTTCATAAGTTCTCTGAAAACATTTGAAGTTCTCATACATTATTCAAGTATGGAGTAAATAAACTTTATGAATTGAACATCAACATTCAACATGAAAAAAAAATCATCAGATATTGCAATCCTATTGATGTTATGTTAAAACTCTGTATGATTTAAAAAAAAAATGTACTATTTAAGGGAGAATGTCAGTTGAACCAAAACTAGTGAATAATGTTGTGTCACAGAGGACTAAAGAATATGCAGTACGTCAACAGGAAATGGAAATGGAAGCTAAGTAAGTGTTGAAATCTCTCTGATATTGTTTATATCGTAAAGAAATATTTTAAGTTGATTTTATTAAAATTAACATGGAATATTTATATAATACACCATTCAATATGATATAGAATTAAAATCTTGTGTAGCAATATATAGGATTATCTCCCCTGTTTCAGCAAATTTTTTTTTTGTATTACAAAGGCTTTTTTCATTTAAAAGTGTTATTAGATCTTAATTTTTTATGACTGAGTTATAGAGGAAAATAGTATACCTAATAGACACTTACCTGTAACAGTAAATGTCTTTTCAGTCCACTAGATGTTTCATAGTGAATTTGATCATTGGAAAAAAATTGTTTGGTGGACCCAATAATTATCACACTGTCAAAAAAATTGTTATATTAAAAATTGAATTTTCGGGTTTGAATTGGTTATTCAGTGTAATTTCCCAGCATAATATGATTGATTGATTGGTGATTACTTATCGCCGCATCAGCACAAAGACCTACATTGTATATCGCAGCGAAACACAATATGAAGAAGGAAAATAGTAATTGTCTACATGTACATCTGTCAGTGTGTGTGCTTTATAACACACAAGTCCTCGGAATCAATTGACTGATGTTCTTCATATTTGGTATATATATCTAGAATGTTTGGTTTTGTTGCAAATAATCATATAATTTGATTCAATAATTTTGCATCAGTTCTAGCCCTGTTATATTTTCACATATTCATGAGAGTATGGTATCTTTTTAATGTATTGACTAGCAGCATAACACTATATTTCCTTTTTACTTTATATCAGATTGCAAAGAAATTGCACATATGAAAAGCAGAGATTATGAAATAAGCAAATTATCAACATAAATATTAATTTCAGATACCTAGTCAAGGAAAGGCAACGTTTACAAGAGGCAAGAGAGAGAGTTATGGAACAGAGAAGGTTTCTTGCTAAGTCAAGTTCTCCATCTGGTAAGAAAAAGCATCGTCATGACTTTGATGTACTTGCATTTCTGAAGGGTCTTGGACTTTATCACCCTGTGAAATCAAGGACACCTACGCCTCCAAGGAGGAAAAAGAAAAGGAAAATCTATTATTGTCCCACATATCTTCCATACTCCTATTGGATTGGGTGATGGCTTTTTCAGATGTACACAACTTCACATATCTTTTATGTTTTGTGTCTGTAATAACACTGTTGTTCTTATTTAACATGCCTATAATTAGATTTCACCATACTGGACTTTTGTGTGGAATCTTGTTTGTTGAATTAGGAAGCTTGATAAAACTATCATTACTTGCATCATTTCTTTGCATGGTATTTACTAAAAGGCTTTTGTTATTCCACTATTTTCTGTTCTCTATAAGGACTGCTGTTTGATTTAGTTATTTTACAAGATTATTGTTTATTTGAAGTTGGTGTTATTTATGGTAAAACAAGAAAAATCCTAAATGAAAGTTTTAAGCCAACTGCAAAATGTCAGTTATTAAAAAAAAAAACATAATTACATACATTGTAATTTTCAATAGACCTTAAAATAATGTCTACAATCCTGCTTTTCTGAACTGCAAAGAAATCGGAAAATGCACAAAAAACTTTCTATGCCCCGCCTACAATAGTGGCTGGGAATTATGTTTTCTGATCCATCTGTCTGTCCAAAATTCTGTCCAAAATTCTGTTTGTCTGTCCCATATCTGGTTAAAGTTTTTGGTACAGGTAATTTATTATGAAGTTGAAGTCACATCAACTCAAAACTTAGTACACATGTTTATTATGATGTGCACTTTTTGAAAATTATATGCCAAAATACAATTTGACCCCAAATGCAGATCTCGCTGAACATGGGAGAGTGAAACCAGTGCACAATCAGGTTAAAGTGTTTTGCTTGAGGTAGTTTACCATGAACTTGTGTTCACAGCAACTTATAACTTAGCCCACATGTTCATTATCATGCAAATTTTAACATTTTTATGCCAAATTACAGTTTTGACCGAGTTTGTACAGTTCACTGTACAAGGAAATTGATAATTCAAGAGTCACATGTGTCCAATTATATTCTTGATTTTAATAATTTTACAAATTTTACAGGAATTTGTTTTATTTTGCAGTTGGAAATATAGGAATTCTAGATAAGTTGATAAGTCTAATACAATATTACATCTAATTTGATTCTTTAAAAATCAATAAATCTTATTCGTATAGAACCAGGCAGATACAAAAAAGATAAACTTGTTATCAATCTGAATGTGCATGTAATATTTGCTACTGTTTATGCATACATCAATCATGCAGCAGCAAGCCTCATTAGTCTTTCACAAAATATGTATGCTGCAGAACTGTAATATTATTTTGTATATGTTTAAAGCTTTTATTTTTGACGATGTTCATCTTAAAGGAAAGTACATATACCATGTTTGGTAAGACTGGCCACCTTTTAAATATTGTTTATTTGCAGTATTGGGACGCTACCTTTCAGAAATAAATGCAATTTAAAAAAAACTGTGTTTGATTTGTTGAAAGAGATAATGATTTCTTTTATGTATATGATCACAGATGCTTGTGAAGCATTCAAATAAGATCAATGTATCAAGCACCAATGAGACTAGGAATCTAAAATTGTTTAAAGTCAAACATAATAATTATTGAAACATGTGTATCTACTAGGGCTGTTTCATTAAATCATACAAGCACTTTGAAAAAAGGGTAACCATCTATAAACCTTACAATTTCTCTGTGCAATTTTGAAGTGCCCATGTCCCATGTTTTTATGGAACACTCCTAATCTAGGGAAAGTTAATGTGGATAGAAAAATTTACCATAAAAAATTTTTTTCCTAAGTTTTGCATTTATCTGATATATTTGCACATCAGGCATCGCACTGCAAGCAAACTCTTCAGTTATGGCCAATTACAAATTTAAAGTTTGAAATTGATTTATTTATTACATGTTTGTTTATTTATTTATTTATTTATGCATTAGAGGTTTGAAAGGATAATATAAAAGAAAACTTACAAAATGTGTACTCTTTGTTATTTGCTTGTTATATTGTTAATTTGAAATAAATTGTTGCATTAAAAGTTTTTCTTTGTTTACTTTTTAAAACAGTGAATATCTTTGCTTATGATTTTATTGGTTATTTTAGTCTATATAATTGAATGATAATAATAATTTGCATAGATGAAGAATAAAGATTAAGTTTTTATACCAAATTCAACGATGGGTGTTGTACTGGAGTTGCCTTGACCGAACAGTTTGACTGTTTTAAATTTAATAACATTGTGACTCTTACCATGCAAGGCTGTAATATCTTTCCAAAATCTTATATTTCTTGATTTTATGCATTTCCAAAATCTCTTGTAATTTTTTATTAACTGTGTATTTGCATTCATGTGTCACAGGTCAAATTTATTCGTTCATTGTGTGTTAATTTACGTTTTTTGATTGAGTTAAGCCTTCCAATTGATATTTTATAGTGTGTTTTTCTTTGTTGTGATGTTATACTATTGTTTCAGAAAAGGGAGAAGGTTTGGTACCATTAAAACGTTTAATCCCGCTGCAAATGTTTGCACTTGTCCTAAGTCAGGAATCTGATTACAGTAGTTGTCGTCTGTTTATGTAGTTCATACATGTTTCTTGTTTCTCGTTTTTATATAGATTAGACCGTTGGTTTTTACCTTTGAATGGTTTTCCACTAGTAATTTTTTGGGGCCCTTTGTAGCTTGCTGTTCGGTGTGAGCCAATGCTCCGTGTTGAAGGCCATACCTTGACCTATAATGGTTTACTTTTATAAATTGTAACTTGGATGGAGAGTTGTCTCATTGGCACTCATACCACATCTTCCTATATCTATATCATGTGCAAATTTGAAATAGTGCTCATTAACTTGATTTTCTTGGGTCAAAACTGGGCTTTAAATGTTGTTAAGGTACAAAGCATGAGTTGTGTAATTTAGTTCTGGATTGATGAAATCCTCTGTTTATTAAGGTATTGCAGCTATATAAATGACAGCTTCAACACAAATATGTTAATTCAAATAAATTGTAATTTACCAGAAATAAAATATGAATAGGTCTCAAATGCATATTATGTAGAATGCACTGTAGCTAAGAGCAGAAAATGTCTGTTGATATAATGCAAAGATAATTGGTTGAGCAGAAATATTATTAAGAACATAATAAAAAGGAGTATATTATACATGTAGTATGGTAATTTTGTATTGAGGGGAGTCTGTGATATAAAAAATCTTCTCTTTAAACATGATAAAGCTTGTTTGCCAGAATTGATGAAATTAATCAGATGCTTTTGTTTTTCAGCCCCTTTTTATATTTTGTAATCTTTCTTCGTCCACTCTTTTTTATGGCAATAATTGCTGAAAATAGAAATTCAAAAAATATCTGTGAATATTTTTTTTAAATCGTAGAGTTAAGATTTAAACAGGAAAAAAAAACAATTGAGTATTTCGAAAAATGTTGGTTATTCAAGATCATAAAATTCCAGATTTATCTGAACAAAATATTCCTTCGTTTCGTAAATAATTTTATCTTTTTAACATGTAAAAGTTGTCTTATGGGAACACTAGTATGAGGGTCTAGAGGAAGGGGTATAATTATTTACATCTAATGCCGATGTCATGATCATGAAATACTAAAATGATATAATACTCCTCTTAAAACATGCATTAACAGTATTTAATTACCACACTTTTCAAAAGATGTATTACTTTCGAATATAAAATTGAATAATCGTCTTTTGAACATATCATTTGAGTTAACACAAGAAATCAATAAAAATAATATGTCACTTTCAATCATGCATGAAATGAAATTTGTTGATGTTTTTGAATTGTTAAGATGTTTACTGTTCATCAGTTTATTGAAAGAGATGAATGAAGTGTCATGTTTTGAAAATTGATAAAAGGCTTTACATATATAATACTTTTATGAAATTAATCAATACATAAAAGTCAGTCCACAATTTATTATGGTGTTTAATTGGTGGGTTATTTGTCCTACTTTGTCCCTTAGTATTTATTAAAATATGTCTATCATTTATATTAAACTTTAGAACCTACATACACAGGCATATTTCATTATTTGTTTGTCAGTTTCATCTCAATTACAATATGGGGAAAAAAATAACAGGTTATGGAACTTAACTAATATTTCAGTAACTTTTCTATTTTATATTGAATAATATTTGTAACCTTGCTAAAGACTTACTCAACCAACTTATATGTTAAGTCATTACGCACATGTTTTAAGGATAGAGCTGTAATGAGAAATGTTGAAATGCTTTTTTTTTTAATGTAGCATTCAGAATAATTCATATGTCAGGATTCTCTTCACTGTCTGTTGCACTTTCTACATGATGATATCTTTGTCTTTGGAATTCAGTATCAATGTTCAAATCGTGACATTTATTCCAAATTTGTATAGACAGTGAATGAATAAGACCTTGTCATATTGTTTGAATGTCATCAATGGATACTTGTCCTTGATTTCAGTGATCTCAAATTAGACCTAAATATATCTATTATTAATAAAAAAAAAAAGTAAAATGTGAAAATGCGTTGAACTAACTGTATGTAAGGTCGGAACAATCTTGAAAATACTGTGCAATATATATTATCCACTCAAAAAGAAAAAAGTAGTTTAGATCTGTAAAATTTAAAGAGTTGTGTCTTTTTTGTGAAGCATACAATATTGGGATAACAGACACAGGCTTCAGATAAAAAACAGTTTCAAAATTGATAATTGTCTGGTGATAAACATTGGTTGTATTAGTCTCAAACTCCATACATAGATATAGTTTAATCTGTATTTCAGGTAGTGTTATGAGTGAGCCTGACAATATCCACAGAACAGAACCAGAGGTCAAAGATACATCTAGACTGAGTCTACATACACCTACTTTTAACATTGATACATATATTAAAAATACCGTAAATACTCTACCTCAGACAATGGACAGGATAACTAGGTTAAGGTAAAGGAACAGTTGTATTTATGTTACAAATCACTATACAAGATGGCAGAATACATATATAGACATGTGTCACTCATGCTTACTTTTGATTTTGTGACATCACTAAGTTCGTTGAACTAGCTAGCATTGATATAATTCCTTCAATTCAAGATTCATATAGAATTCCTGTAAGCTATACATATCCATCTGACAGGGGTCACCTTACTTCACCTCATTTTCAGGTTTCAATCATCAATGATAAGTGGTCACACTAAGGTCAGTCTCACATTTATATTACACAAAATAACTTTGATGTAGAAAAGTTCACTCAGAATTGTTTATGTATGACAGAGGTCACTTGACCTTGACCTCATTTTCATGGTCAGGTGATCCTTTGAGTAATAGGTGAAATTAATATGGTCTATAGAATTATAAGTTGTCCATATCTGTTTGGCATGTGTCTTCTGACCTAGGCCTCATTTTCATGTGATAGTTATTAGTTCATTTCTCATTAACTATGAGTAATAGTCATTTATGATTTGACTTAAGAATCATTGTAAGGTCTACATACATGTTTGTCTGTGGTCACCTGACCTTGACCTCCATTTCATAGTTCACTGATAAGTTTAAAGCTTTTGTTCTAAGGTATAATTCTCAGGTACTTTGAGTATATTCTTTATTTATACTGTTACATTCACATGTCATTGTGTTGATAAGTTAACTATAGTAAACATGGTAAAGTTTGATTACATTATATTTACAGAGAGGATGTACAGAAGCATTACAACAAGTATAAAAAGCCCTACAAAGGAGAAATGGGAATACATACTTACCAACCTTTTCAGATGCAAGGATATTTTGCTGTATGTTTTTGTTCAATATTTTTTTTTTTTAAAGATGAATGTTTCATGCTGAAATATAGACTCAAGGACAAAATCTGTTGTTGAATATTTATACATGAATGTCTGTATTATACCATAAGGCTTGCCTAACTTGTAAAGGCCTATAAGCCAGATAAAACAGAAAGAGTGAGGGGAAAAACTAAAGAGTCTCAAAAACCCTTTATAAAAGTTTTCCAGTGTATGAAGTGCAATGCCTCCAGAAATGGGTATTGATTTCTTCCTCATAAAATATTGATTATTTGGGTCATATATTGCCAAGTAAAATCTTGCTTTTCCTAGTATTTACCGCTCTGCTGGACAACACTCATACAACCCTGACCAAGATTGCTGTAACTGTGTACAAATGTATAACATTTAACATTCTTTTACCCTTGCAACATGTAGTTAACAGTCATTAAATAAAAGTAGTGACCAATAGGCATATGAATTTATAAAGGGCATCAAATAACTGTGAACATATCTGTAAAACATTATTTTGATGACCATATCATTTATATTATTTATCCACATAATATGATAAACTTTGTTCATATATTTACATTAAACTGCAACTTGTAGTGTTTATGAATTTATGAAGATCATGACTTTGTTTGCACATGCCAATTTGTAAGCAATGACATATTCCACTATGCCAGGTACAGGGACTTCTTACCAACTTTTATCACTACAGGAAAAATATACAACAAACTGCTTTCAGTAAACAAATTTTTGTACATTTTACAGGTGAGAAGTATTGTAGATGATGTTGTGAATGATTTCCTAGATAAATATGTTGCACCATCACAACCAATGGTAGAACAGGAAACATACTAGTAAGTCAATAATTATATCATGTTATTTGGTAGACATTTTTTTCCTGTGATCTTCAATTTCTTTATATTTCTTTGTTAATGAACACATCAATACTTAGTGGTGTGATAAGTTATAATTGCCTGTAGTTAATTGACAAATTTGAATGTAATTTTTGTTTTTGATTGATTGATTGATTGTTGATTGCTTAACTCCCCAGTATTTAGAAGACACAAGGAAAATAAAGAAAGAATTGTTAAAAGTAGTTCTTCCTTTTTTCCAGAGGCCATGCTGTTGTGTATGTATTTAACCTAAAAGAAGATATTTTTATGTTAACCTTAATTTTACAGTTTACCTAAATTATGGTCTTTTACTGAAAAATTTGCCCTGAAGACAAAATTGTATTGGCACAACACCTATTTCTGGAATAACTTTTATCACGTTCTCTCTAGAGCAAAGATAGTTCATTTCCAAGAATTTGCTAAAGGGTTAGAGTCCAAAATAGCATAATCACGCTGACTTAGAGTCATTCTTTTTATATGTATTCTTTTATGTCAATCTTTCAGTGCCTCTAGAAGACAGAAGATACATGATACTGAGATTATGGCTGAAAGTTTATCTGAGAAGAAAGCTATTCAGCTGATCATGGAAGAAATTATTCTTGATGTAAGTCTTATGTTCACCTCAAGGTTCTCAAAGTTTATGAATTGCTGTAGATAATCATTGTGCATATTGATAAACTTTGTCATATTTTGTTTGTTAGTTATGAGTCATCTACTTGCGAAACTTTAGATATGTTAGGCAAAATTGCTAGTTGCATTTGAAAGAAAAATGTAGACACTGTAATAATGATCTTTTCCTTGAACCTAAAAAATGTTTAGATTTCTGAAATGATCTGTTTTGAAGAAGTACTTATGATAATCCATGGGGTATCCTTTCATTAGCATCAATAAGAATAAGAAGATGTGGTATGATTGCCAATGAGACAACTCTCCACAAGAGACCAAATGACATAGAAATTAACAACTATAGGTCACTGTAGGGCCTTCAACAACGGCCTTCTATGCATATTTTCCAAAAATATTTCTTATATTAACAGTTTTATATGAATGATGTTTACAAACATCTAACATTTTCAGGAGACAGGTGACGTGCTTGAGGAAATTGCACAGGAACATATCCATACCAAAGGAACTGTTAGAAACTGGGCAGATGAAATGACTATGAACAGAGCTGAGGTAACTTATTATTTATTGCTGTTCAAAAGGGGAGAAAGGGAAACACCTTTTTCTCTTTGTATATTTTGTTACACTAGTTTAAGGTGGAGGTTAAGCTTTGTAAAGACTGTCCTTCATTGAGATTTATAAGCATTTATTTTTTTATCTTGCTTAACCAGCATGTTGCAATCTTTATAAATATAGAAGATGGAAGCCCACATCATAATCCATTATTTAATGGATTTATGAGTATTTAAAAATATATCAATATTTATTTCCTTTTTACTTACTGTGAAAGTACTTTTATTCGTGATATCAATTTTCATGGTTTGAACAAAAAATGCATGTTCATGAGTTCTTAAAAAATTCTGTAAAAAAACAAGTGAAGAATTTGAAGCCATCAGAAACAAAGATTCCTGAAAATAATCATATGCTGTTTTATAATGATTTGTTGGACATTGCAAAATAAGGTGTTCATTTTCACTTACTTGTTGCTCTTTCATTACTGACAACATTCATCAAATTTTTGATAAAATAATTGCTTTTAGAAATTAGCTGATTCATCTTTGCTTACAATCACCCCCAGTTTTTGGTTGGTCTTGTGTTGCTCAGTCTAGTTTTCTATGTTATGTTTATTATACTGTTGTTTGTCAATTGGTCTTTTTCTTTTCTAGCCATGGCTTTGTCAGTTTATTTTTGACTTATGAGTTTGAATGTCCCTTTGATTAATGGTATCTTTCGCCTCTCTTTTACAAACTGTCTCGATTGAAGGAAATACAGTAGCAAAGTAAAAATTTTAATTGTCGCACACATGTATTCAGAAGTGATGATACTAATTAACACAATATCAAATGATCAATAGATATTCTTTAAATTATATGTCTGTATCCATGTAGTCAAACCTACATGGGGATCTTTCCATGTCTTGATTTAGACAACAGTTGTTATATTTCTTTGGACAATTAAATTCTTGGAGAAAGCCATCCATGAAAACCACGACAAATTTGAACCCCATGAATAAAACTACTTTCACAGTAATAAAAAAAGCATTGAAGGTATTAACGGGCAGTTTAAAAAATAGAAATAAAAGAAAACCAGACAACACCATAACAAATGAAAATAACAAAAATACAAGGCCATAAAACATTATATAATCAACTAAAAATTTACAAACTAAGGATGAGCTCAAAAAGGGTCAGCAATTCACATTCCACTAATGTCCCCTGCCATGTTACTCTTGTTGAAAATGTTATAGAATCATGACAAGTGATACAGCATACAACAGTGGATTGGTAAATGTCTCATTCTAACCATACCACAATCATCAAGATCGTAAGGTTTCGAGTAAATTTTCAAATCCTAAAATTTACAGAATGTGAATATGAAATGATAGCATGGTTTTTCAGGTCTGATTGTTTTATGATAAGTAAGAGCAAAAGAGTAGGTACATTAAAGCCAGATTTTGTAAATAATTTTAAAAATGCACAGACTATATAAAAGTTTATAGGTTTTATGATATATGTAACATGTTTTTCTCAAGGTCAAGACTTCATAAACACATTCCTGATGTACATGTACAATGATTTTGCCAAAATGACAGAAAGATCTGATTTTGACGAGTTCCCATGCATATTTGCCTTGAGGAAATATTGAGCACAATCCAGAAACAACAAAGTATGTTAAGAGAAGATGCATTATCCAGAGTTACACATTTTCCCTAAGCATAAGTTGTTTCTTGGATGTGTTCAATATTGATGAATAAGATGAACATTATGGAAATGCTCAAATTATGCACTTACCATTCCTTGATGCCATGACAAATTATAAAATTCAAAAGTTTTCTCTGTTTCCTGAATATCACTTAATTTTATATTGTTTTAACAGGTTTTTTTTGGCTATGTTTAAAACCAAATAATGGCCTTACCTATTCCTTAAGTATATTTACTCTTATTACAGTCTGGAGCTAGACAACGAAGAAGGTAGAACAGAATCAGACCCAGCTTATAATTCTGTCACTAAATTGTTCTTCAGTGTCAAACACAGAAGGGATGAAACTAGGTAAGTTTCACACAATTTTACTGTTTCTGAGATGAAAAATTGATTGATTGTTAAAGGACTAATTTCCAGTGAAAAGTGTTGCATAAAAGATAAGTGACCAAAACATTCACCATAAATTAAAAACGTTCAACAAGTACCTGTGCAAATCATACATTTACCTTATTTTTTTCAGCAATTAACTGATAGATTGAAAAAGTTTTTTGCAGTTAACATTTACAAACAATTAAACAAGTCTCGGATAAAACAAAATTGGACATCAGTAATTTTGCTAAACCTTCCAGGAATGTTATGAAACCTTGGACAGAAATTCCTTCAAGATCAAGAAGTAGCATCTAAGGAAAAGTTTGAATTCTGTTTTAATTTTTTTGTACTATACTGATAATTAGACTTTGTTTTTGGCAGCTAACATTACACTTTACCACAGACCGCAACAATCACAGGCAAGACAAGGTTCCCATATTACAATTTTTTATTTAAAGAAAAATATGTAGCCTATAGCTTTAAAACAAGTCATGTGTTTTCACTTGAAATAAATTTAAGAAACACATGTAAACATTTCCAAATTGAAAAAGTCACTACCTTATAACTTATCTTACATTCATTTCAGACCAGATATTTGGGGTCACACTCAGATGTTAGGTTTAGCTGAAAAGCCTTCTACACCAAGGAAGGTGAAACCCCCTCCTCCTAAAGGAAAAACTAAAAAATCAAAACAGAAGACTCCATCACTTCCTCCGAAAAGTCGTGAAAGAAGTAAACCTCCCACACGCCAAACTGTTCCAGGGACTGCAGTCAGGTTTGTTATACTTATCTGAATAAATGAACATGCATGCAATTTTTTTCAGTTCTTTCCAGAGCACAATATTTAATCCATGATAATATGTGATGATAATGATAATTTAATGAATACAATTTCAGGAATGCATGAATTTATTTTACTTCTAAAGATATTGGAAAGTAAACAATAACAAAACAGTTAATTTGACTTCTGTATAAAGTGTTGAATCTGATGAACTTTCAAAAACTGAATTTTTTCAATGCTAATGATGAATCTTTGATGGTCTTTAAAAAATAGCAGGATAACTAACAAATTCCAATAATGTTTGAAAAGTTTTTCTTAAAGAAAAAGTGATTTTTTTTTAATAGCTTCGTATTAATTTGAACATTCATTTAAAATATTGATTACACAATTGACTAATCTAGCACTTTAGTTAGTTGATCATGAATTACAAAATTTCTAAATGTACATTACTCAAAAAAATTCCAAAAACTAATCCTATTTAAAAAGTTGAAAATGCTACTTACTGATGAGAGCCTTTCAATTGAAGCTATTTTCAATCATATTTTCTCAAATTTTAAGAAATTGTAGATAAGGTTTACAGGATAAATCCAGAAAAGATACTACACGTAGGTGATTTATGTCAAAAAGGGAGATAAGAAAGTGTTATAGTTTTACTCCAAGCAGAACAAATATCAAAAACTTTGCTTATATTAATATTTCTTTTATTCATTAACTTGTATATATATATGATATTCAGACATCAGTATTTCAAGTTTGACGACTTGTGATTTATAAACTCTTTCTGAATTCAGAATGATAATTCTGTATTTGTTTATAGTTCTTGATTCTATACATCGTAATGTATCCTATTCTATTCCTTCTTGAAGCATATAACTATTACCAAATCTTTCCTAGAATTATAAATATGACTATTTATATTTTTGATGCAGCCGTAGGTAGCATTAAGGTAAGAATACTGGTTATAGCTACCAACACCTCATTAAGCTGTAATATGCATAGAAAAATACACTTTATACTGCTTATATTGTACATTGTTGTCAGCACTGGTGGTAGAAAGATTAGACCAGTATTTGAATATTTCTCTCTTTAAAAAATGTGATTCTGATTCCATATCAAAGAGCAAATACATTATCAGACTTTCTGCCTTCAGTGCAATGTAGTAAAATGGCAATTTCTATAGGTCTATACTGTCAAAAGTCTTTTATTTGTGGACACCATTGTTGACTATATTTTTTTTGGTTCATGGGTTTTCAAAATCATGTTTTTAAACTCAAAACCAATTGAAAGTAACTTTGAGCAAGATGGTATAGATGCTTGTCTTGTTTTGAAGATTTTAGGTTTAATGTAGACATTTTATATGTTAAATTTCTGTTTTATTAATGAATAAACTGCATTTTCTATTTGTCTACTCATGAACCACTATTTGATAAAAAAAATTGGTGTGCAACAAATAAAGACTTTGTGTCAGTTTTAGGAAAATAATCACATTCATTGCAGGTCTACAGACAAAAAAGACTAAACCAAATTTCTTCCTTTCCTAACAAGGACTAAATATTCTTAAGTATAATTATTTTCTCAGCATCTTATTTTCATTTGGCATTTTGGAAATCGTTAATGAAAACAACATTAAAAAAAACATGTCTTACATGTGCATATAAAAATAATTTCCTTCTTTTAATCCAGTGTTTTTAAATTTTCTTTCCTTTAAATAGTTTTAAAATTTTTTTTTAATAATAAATCACTAATATACTCAAACTTGTAAGATAATATGTGTTTTCTTTGAAAAAGCTAGTAAGCCTTGTTAGATTTGGGACCTCTTATGACCTTTAACCTTGGCCAGACTTTTCTTCTTTCCAAGTCTCTCAAGGTAACTATTTGTGCTTTACATGAAGAAACAACATGTTATATGAAGTTGCAGGACGGAATGTCATTATCTAATTAAAAATACTGTCATTTATACCACTGGACATTAAGTAAACAACAATCAATCAACTGGAATATTATGTCACTCCCCCCTTTTTCTTATTAAATCATGGAATATATCATTATTGCTTTTTCCAAAAGTACTTTTAATTAGATAGTTTCTGCTAGAAAAAGGGCAAAAGCAGAATTCATCTGATTAGAATTTTCCTGAATTTGATTTTGAATTTTGAAGCTTAATATTATGTGTTGATCTGAAGTTTGCTCTGTCTGATTGGGAACATTTCAATCCAGTGCTTGAAGAATGTTATGCTTTAGGCAAATTTAAAGAACCAGAAGATCATTTTTATTTAAAGAGGTCAGTAATAGACCTGTTGTAACACTCATTTTCTAATGCATGTACTTCCTATGTATCTGTGTACCAGTGTTAGTCAAAATTGTGTATCCCAACACCTGCTTTGTCTTTATTTTAGGTCCTATATATATTGATATTGTGATAAAAAAGAGGCAGAAGTGTTCTTGTCATGATATGAATAGAAAATTTAACATTGCATATTATCAAATCATTAGGTATAAGCAGCAATTATGTATAGTTTTCCTGCAGTGTTACCTGAAGATTGAACATGTGGAAACATTGGTCAATTATTTCCCTTGCATACATCATGGGGGAACAGTAGCAGTTGTGGAACCTTAAACAAATTGGCTGCTATTCTCCTGTTTTTTATGCCCCCGCCAAAGCGGAGGGGGCATTAAGTTTTACCCTTGTCCATCTGTCCGTACGGACGTCCTTACGTCCCAAAATTGGTTTCCGTTCTCTAACTTAAGTTTGCCTCAACCAAATGTTATGAAACTTATACACAATGCTTATTACCACAATACACAGATCAAGTTTGAATTTTGGTGGCGTCACTGTTACTGTTCTAGAGTTATGCCCCTTTACAAATGGAAAAATTGCTAAATTTTTATACGACCGCAAAAAAATTTTGCAGTCGTATATTGGTATGACGTTGGCGTCGTTGTCGTCGTCGTCCGAAGACACATTGGTTTTCGCACTCTAACTTTAGTTTAAGTGAATGGATCTCTATGAAACTTTACCATAAGGTTCAATACCACAAAAGGAATGTTGGGATTGATTTTGGGGGTTATGGTACCAACAGTTAAGGAATTAGGGGCCAAAAAGGGGCCAAAAATAAGCATTTTTGTAACTTCCAGACATAACTTGTGTGACATTGTACCACAAGGTTCCATATCACAAAGGGAATGCTGGGATTGATTTTGGGGGTAATTGCCTCAAAATTTTAGGAATTAGGGGCCAAAAAGGGGCAAAACACAAGCATTTTTCTAGTTTCATGACAATAACTTGTTTGTAAGTGTATGGATCTTTCTGAAATTGTACTACAAGGTTCCATTTCACAAAGGGAAAGCTGGAATTGAGTTTGGGGGTAATTGCCCAAAACGTTTAGCAAAAAGGGGCCAAAAATAAGCATTTTTCTAGTTTCCAGACAATAACTTGTGTTCAAGTATATGGATCTCTCTGAAATTGTACTGCAAGGTACCATACCACAAAGGGAAGGCTGTTATTGAGTTTTGGGGGTGATGAATCATAAGGGGGTTCAAAAAATTTGGGGGGGGGGGATTTTTTTTTCTTTTAAATTTTCCATTTTAAATTGGTTATTTCTGATTTATATATAAAAGCAAATAATTAGATATGGTTTGAATAGGTAAATTAAAATTTTCTTAGACCCCATTCATTCTGTGTCAGAAACCTATGCTGTGTCAAATATTTAATCACAATCCAAATTCAGAGCTGTATCAAGCTTGAATGTTGTGTCCATACTTGCCCCAACTGTTCAGGGTTCGACCTCTGCGGTCGTATCAAGCTGCGCCCCAGTGGAGCATTTTATTCATTTTTTTTCTAAAAATATCAATGATGTCATTGTTCAAGTAATTTTTAAAATTGGAGTTATCTTCCTTTGTCCATGATTATAGCAGAATCAACTACAATCAATGCTTTATACAATGCAATGTTTAATTTTGCCTTCCACTGATAAAACATAGATCAAGTTGAATTTGGGAAGTGTCACTTTAATTTTTTTTTCATTTTCAGATAATTTTACCATTTTTGTAGCCATTTTTGAATACTGCTGTTCTTAGGCTAAATTTTGCAGACACATCTAGTATTCTAGACATCATAAAACAGTTAACTATGACCTTCCATAATTACATCAGTTTTCTGAGAACTAAGACATGTACCAGTCATCTTCTAGTCAATTTCCTGATCCTTGAATTACCTATAAGTTCATTTAATCACCAATTAAGATTTAATATCATATAAAAAAGCTTGAAGGCATTTGAATGTACTCTATTTTAATTTGTCAAATGTATAAATTTTAGTAGCTTAATTATTATCCTATAGTGTAATAAACTATTTATTTTTAGTGAGTTTCTTATGCTTGACAGCCATATTAGTTTTGTTTTAAGAGTAGTACACGCTAGACTTACCCACAACACTGTGATGTCACACCATATACACAATATTTATTTAAGTTATGTTAGATTTATAATTGTACTTTGATATGCTAATATCATTATTATCATCAAAATGTTGCTGTCAGTTTTGTACCTGTTTTTTGTCTTGCCTGTGACAAAGGCATAGAATCAAGACATTAAGATCATATATTCTAGCTTATGAGTTGTCAAAAGTTAGGTTCAGTCTGTGGATAATGTTTTTTATTAGACATACATACATGTATCTTTGTCGAACCATCATGGAATCCTGAGAAACTTTGAAAACAGTTTATTTCATTTGATTAAAAGACAGTATCTAGAGCAAAAATTTTTAAATATTTTCTTTTTATCATATTTTCTGACCTTCATGGAATGGTACGAAACTTGAATGGAAGCTTCTCCATCATATAAAAAAAAAAACAATAGCATCTGCAGAAATTATTTTTTTTACCATATTTTACTGATAAATTGACTTGTACTTTGGATTTTGACAGTTGGCTGTACAATTTTTTTTTGCTGACAACAGCATTCATAAGCGGGAAACGGGGTTCCAAAGAACCCTTTATGAATTTTGTTTTTATTTGTTTTAAATAAAAAAGCACCAAACATATGTATGAGACAAATACTGTTCAAGGCAAGCAGTTTTAAATCTGCAGAAGTGAAATCACTATACATGATAACAAATGTTTAATTCTGACTTCTTCAATTAAGTGGTTCAGTTAACTTCCAAAATCTGTTTCCCCACTTGTTTGTATTGATAGAGGTATTGACTCCTAAAAGTACAAGATAGGCAAAGACATTTTTTGATTTTTTTTTAATCTGTTTTTGTCAATTTTGTTATTGAGCTATCACATCAACTAATCTATATCAATGTTCATTATATTATGACAAATCTGAGTATAGGACTTTAAACAGCAAAGTGATATTTTTATTTCAGTTCACTGCCTGCAGACCCTACTACACCAATTTTACATTATCATCACATCACCCCTGTAGATATTAGAAGTTATCATGTCCTTAGAACTGATGTTCCTGAAGTCAAATATGAAAAAATTAGATATATGAAATATATGAAGAGAGAGATGATATACTGGCAGGTAAGATTAAAGTGTTAGGTCAGATCAGCGACCTTTTTCACAGACAAAAATGTGAAAATATTCCACCTGAACATTTCAATAAATTTTACTACAGTGTATCAATTTTAATCGTAAGAAATTTTGTGAAACATCCACACCATTGTAATGTTAAATGACTACAATTAAAATATTTTTTCATTTTAGCATTTTAAAATGTTCCACAGATTTTTTAGATGATTTCTATAATAATTTATGGACAGTAGTGTGAAAGGATTTAAGGGTAACAAGATCAGCAATCTGAAAAAGTACAGTCAATTTGGAAAAAACTGGGCAAGGAATTGAAAATCATATTCCATTGAACATCCAATCAAAAGTTTGGTTATTTACCATATGCTTCAAAAATTGCATGAGCAAAATGCTGCAAAAATTAGGGTTTTTTTACATTTTCAGATCATTGCATAACTGAAGGATAAGAAATAAAGATGAACTTATTTTTTTTTTCTCAAAATAAGTTATTCAATATTGCAAACTGCACCAGGATCTCACCTGTACAAACTAATTTATTTTAAAATAAGGAGATGCAGTATGAGTTTAAATTGTTTATGAGTTATCTTTTTTTGGTAAATCAATATCCTAAATGATAAATTGTGTAATTGCTTTAAGTTAGAGAACTGAAGCTATACTTATACTTATTTCAGAAAATGATTCCAGTAATTTCAGAAAAAAGTTTAGCAAATCGATGTAAAGGTATCTCTTGTGCTTCAGCCTCACCAAATGGAAAGTTCATTGTTTTTGGTACAGTCCATGGTAAGTGCTTTTATCACTAAGATTGTTGTGTTTGGTTCAATTCATTGTACAGTAGTGCTTCTTTCTCTTGAAATGAAAAAAAAAGCATTCACAATTTATTGGGATACTTCTTTTTAGAAATTGTAGAACATACAATCCTAAAGTTTAACATGCCAAGTATTAAAAATATTTTGTTTCAATAACACCACTAAATTTTAAGCAAGCAACAATCAATCAATCAATTGACAATAATATTATATATAAGTCATGAAATGCTCTGAAACATGAAATAACAATCAAATATGATTCAGGTGGACAGAAATTCCATTTTCAATGTTATCAGTTACCGTTAGCATCCAGTATAAATGTGGTATGATTGCCAATAAGACAACTTTCTACAAGACACCATATAATATAGATGTAAGCAAATATAGGTTACTGTACAGCCTTCAACAATGAGCAAAACCATAACCACATAGCAAGCTACAAATGGCCATGACATGACAAATGTAAAGAAATTCAAACAAGAAAATTAACAGTCTAATTTATGTACAAATCTATAAACAAAAAATAAAGATGATATACAGAAACAAATGACAAGCACTAAATTACAGGCACCTGACTTAGGACAGACACATACAGAATATGACATGGTTAAACATATCCCGGGTGCGCCAAACCCTCCTCCTAACAAGAACAAGCTGTATAAAACAAATACAAAAACAAAAAATTTCTGAAAATGATTCCAGGAATTTCAGAAAAAAGTTTAGCAAAACAATTTAAAGGTATCTCTTGTTGTTTTTATGGCCCCGCAACAAAGTTGTCAAAGCCATATAGTTTTACCCTTATCTGTCATTTCGTCATTCCGAAACAAACAGTTATACAGACTTTTTTCTAAAGGCCTTTACTTATTGAGCTGCTTTTAAGTATGTGAGTCTACTATGATCGGTTAGAAATTGAGTTTACGTATGGTTCCGCTTCACTGATTTTTGCTGAACTTACGGGCTTTTGACTTTGAAAATAGCAGTTATACAGACTTTTCTAAACACCTTCACATATTGAGCTGATTTTTAGTATGGGAGTCTACTATGATGAGTTACAGATTGAGTTTACATCTGGTTCTACTCCACTGATTTGCTGAAATTACTGGCTTTGGAATTTGAAAATTTCATGAAAACAGTTATACAGCCTTTCATTTTCAAACTTCAACTCCTAAAAATGGCTTAAAGCTGTTTTTGTGAGTCACCAGGGGCCATTCATGTCGTTCCGACACATATAGTTTTCCCCTGACTTCTGACGGGCACATATAGAATGAGCCAGGGTTAAACATGTTTGCCAAGGCCAACTCTTCCATGACCTGGGACAGTGGTGTAACAGCACAACTATAAAAATCAGTTGAAAAAGGCTTGACTCATCAGATTGAAATAAATCACAAAAACAACTACTGCAAATTCAGAAATTGTTGTGATGATTTTATTATTGCAAATATGGCAATGAGAAAGGTGTCTAAAAAATAAAACTAGCATTTAAAATTCTTAATAGCATTATTTGTATACAGCATATCCTAAAATTATATTTGTGTCGAATGTTCAACCATTGAAATAATAAATGCACACAATAAATTCTGAATTTACAGTATTTTACAGAACTTATTACACAAAGTACAGCTCTGAGAGGCCTTTTATTAGTTTGAATTCAGTAATTGTTTAGTGCCTTTAGTTCTAATATGAACTATTTATTTAATTTTGGGAGCTGATTGTATACCAATTACAGTCCGTGTAACGTAAAAGTTAACAAAACGAACGATGCCCGAATCATGTACGGACGATGCCCGAACGATGAACGTACGCTACCCGAACGGTGTACGAATGCAAACGAAACGCTGACCGAACGTTGCACGGACGCTGAACGAATGATGTACGAACGAAACCATGTACCATAAACCATACCCTAAACGATAACATAAGCGCCCTTTTATCGTACATCGTATGGTTTTGCGTACTTCGTTTCGTTTAGCGTATACCGTATCGTTTAGCGTACATCGTTTCGTTTAGCGTATATCGTATGGTTAAGCGTACATCGTTTCTTAGCGTGCATAGTTTCGTTTAGCGTACTTATTTTTTTTAAATATGAAACTAGAATTGTGTTCTGTTTAATTTTTTATATAGGTGATAATTGGCTTAAAAATTTAGATTGGATGCATAATTCAGTTTATAATCATTCATTAGATGAATTATAATTTATTCTGTCTCGATGTTGATCCAAAACTATTTACATAAAAAATTTGAAAAATAAACACTGAAATAGATTTAAACAAACTAAAAGATACGATTATGAATTTTGTTAGCCGTGGAAAAGGTGAATGTGCGAGTAAACTGCAGTCTGCAGGGTGTTTAGTCAACAGTTTTTAGATTATATATATATTTCTATTCATCTATCAAATCAATCGAAAAAAACAAATATTCAAGAAATTTCATATAGAAACAATATTTTGTTATGTGCCTCATCAACTCCAAACATAAATCCCTACCAATGTAAAAACGATTGTGTATTATTTTTACTACTAGTGCACTTGACTTTTAACAATCATCAAAAAAGAGCGTGTCCGGCAAATGAAAAATTTCTAAAAACTAAAAAAATGAAAAATCTAAAAACTGTAAGAGAAATTATAATTTAGCGTTTTCATTTTTTTTATTTTGTAACAACAACAAAAATCTAGACCATTTCCCTCTTTTCTTTAATAATATAAGACCATTTTCCTCCATTCTTCATTTTGCCCGTTATACTCTATTTTTATTCTATATATTTTTTCTTTATTTTCCTGTATCTATATACCTCCTTTATTCGGAGCAACCCCACCCTAGATATACATATGATACACAGGGTCTATAGGTCATCGCTTGTGCCGTGATACACATGTTTGCATAACAAAGGATGTCCTTGTTTATCTTCATGACATTTTAAATGTCCTCCTCATAATACATCTAATAGTTGCCACTGGACGTTAAACAGCTAACTATAAATGCATCCGTCATATTCTTAGTTTTGTTATAATGTGTAAATCAAACAACATGATGAAACAATTGCAGATTTTCACTGCCGACGTAATGGGAAATAATTGTAAACAAAACCACTCAGGCCCTATTTTCCAATTTCTATTGTAATGTGGTTTAATTCAAAAAAGGTAACTCCTGAATACTGATCTGTACCCATCAAGCATTTAGGATTAATAACAAATCTATGGTAGTCTCTTTTTCTTTACTCGCAAATTATTCGACTAAATCATGTTTTATTTATGAAAATAGCTTATTGCTGGCAATTGTTAAATATTGATCTCTAGATTTTCAATTGTTTAGTTGTTGGGTAACTGTCTGATCTCGCAAACTTGACATTTTATGGTCATTATTGTTTGCATCCAATTGCACCAATTTATCAAAAAGATAATAATGCGACACCGTACGAGAGTCGTTACTTTACATAAACTACTAGGTTTTTTTCTATAACGAAATAAGAAACCACTTCTCGCAATTCGCCTTGGAGTAATTATGCTTCTCATTTGACAAAATATGGCCTTGTCTCAAAAAAAAAAAAAAAAATACAATATAATACAGAGTAATATATAAAACTGGACTAGAGTGAAGAGTTTGAAAGTAGGAATTCTGAATTTTAATTGAATGTTCTAAATCTTTGTGTATTTTTTATATAAGATTGTACAGACTCAACAATTTCTTTGTTTTTGCTGTGCTGAAATGAAAGGTCACCAGCCAATAGTAGCAAAAAGGATATAGTAGATCTTTCTAATTTTGAAAATTATATTTCTCTTGCTTCAATGTGAAACGGGCACCAAAAAAAAAGAAGGTGAATAATATCCTCAACAGGATGGCCACAGCTGCATGCGGGATTGTGTTTCATATTTACAAGGTTTAAATCTGCATTTGAAGAACTTCACATATTTCTCAAACGTGTATCAATGATATTAAGATTTCTATCACCACAACTAAAATAGGAAGTGCGTACTGTGAATAAATACTCAGTTTACTATTGTTTACAGCAATTTATCACATATAATACCATGTTAACAGTTAAGATGACGGTATTTGACAGTCTGAAGGAGACAGCATCGAGGATTTAATAAGGCAAAGCTTCTGTTGTACTCAATCTTACTAAAGTTTTCTTTATTATATTTAATAGATATGTGTTCGAGATACGATAATGTAGTTTCCTTTTTTATATTACACCTGATCATCTATGATGGGATAATGTCTAATGAGAGAATTTAACCATAGACAGAATAACGTAGAAATGACCAATTAAAGGTCACTGTACGGCCTTCAACAATGAGCAAAATCCATACAGCATGGTAAGATATACAAGGCTCCGAAAGGACAAATGTAAAATACACTCAACGTGTTCTCAGCGATTGCAAAGTACTTTTTCTAAATTAATTAAGTTTTGAATCAGGTTACACAGTCACAATAGTATACAGTAAATAGCCTTTCATGTTAAAATACAATGTCATACAACAAATGGACGTTTTTAACGACCTTGATTGGCTATACAGCCCTTGCACGGTCACTACAATGTCTTAATACTATGACAATGTCATTTACACTGTTCAAACATCACCGCACGTCAAACTTTGTACAACAGAAAAAAAGCTGATGGGACATTCGTGAAAATGTGTCACGCCCTCATCAATTGGCGTACATCCTATCAAGTACCTTCAGAAAGCTTCTATTAAAATAATTTTACATACAAGTAATTGTGTATTTTATTTTCTAAACAAAACAAAATGTGCAATGAAGCCACGGATTCGTAATCTTCAAAAATAGTTCACAAACGGTTGATAAAATGTGGAAAGTCTAAATAGAAATATAACAATTATGTCCAGTGTGCGTTTATAAAACGGGCTCTGTTTGGACATTTTGAGATACTATAAGTACTAGTTTAATGTGTATAGAATTTTAGACGTCAATACGACTTTTGATCAGTTGGATTTTCAATTTCAATATAAAACAAAA